GCTCTGGAAGAGATCGCTTTTTTCTTTTTTTTCTTCTTTTTTTGAAGCGAGTGGTTGAAGCAAATGGAGCATAAGAGCCCCCTGGTGGCTGAAGAAAAAAACCCACGTATAAGCCGCACCGGACTATAAGCTGCATGGTTCAAAGTTCAGGAAAAAAGTCGCGGCTTATAGTCTGAAAAATACGGTACTTTCAACTTGATAAATGGTTACAACAGCTGATTAAGTTTTATTCCAATAAAATATAAAAAACTAGAAGCGCTCGGAGAGTGCAAACCTCCGCCAAGGCCAATTTCCTCCATCCTGTAAGAGTTAATGCGCAAAAGCAGAGATGGAAACACATTTGTTGAATAAGTTCTGATGTAGTGAACATTTAAGCAGCAGTATGAATGGGATTTCTTCCTGCTGGAGTCCAATGTGAAATAAAAAGTCAGACTCGTCACTCGACGTTATTCATCCACGAACTGGTCCCGGATTAATAAGCTCCTAAGTTTTCATCAGTCAGATTCCACCATGTAAAATGTCTGTTTTAATCCCTTTTATGAGTTTGTAACGATTTGACTATCTTTATAAACTGCTCCTTCCTGGTACAATCGCTCTGGAAGCGAGACGCTTTTTTAAATTTTTTATTATTGTAGTGACTGGTAGGGTTGGGCAATATTGGCAAAAAAATAAATCACGATTAATTGTGGTATTTAGCCGATAAAGGTTAATTTGGCGATTAATCCCCTGGAGTCCCTGGACACCCTTATTTCAGAGTCACATGACCAATTTAGTGGGAAGATTTGCTCTTTATAAAAATCTGTTCCAAATTGTGTCAAAATTACAGACTTCAGGCTGTACATCATATTTTAAATTGTGTTGATAGATAAATAAATTACAGAACTTTTTTTTAATGTTCGTCATATTTGAAGCAGAGAGGTGCAGCGAGCGGATTCTAACTTTTGGCGTTAATCGTATTAATCGTCAAGTGCCAAAAATTAATCGATCAATGTTTTTCTGACGATTAATCACACACGATACGATTACGCCCAACCCTAGCGGCTGGTTGAAGCAAAATAAAGCATCTGAGCTCTTTCAGCACAAACAAACACTCCCATGAACTTCTGACCAATCACAATAAAGTTCTTACGTGGAGGGGGTACCTCACATGGTTGATCAGCTGTTCCAGCTGTCCGGTACCAGCTTCGGCTCGGCTGCAGCAGGACCCTCCCCCCGCTGTCGGTGTCTTCTCAGTCATTCCTGTAACGTGAAGAGAATCACATTTCTTTCTCTACGTCTCCAGACAGCGTGTAACCTCACCTAACTTATACAGCACCTTTCTATCCAACCAGGAAAAAAAAAGTGTTTTACAGTACAGTCTGGGCCCTCATTTACCCACAGCACCCTAAGTCTTTCTACAAAGCTAATCTACACAAGGTAGAACTCGAGGCCAAAGCACCAAGTGGTATTCCTCCGCCTGCCCTAGTCATCTGCATTGAAAGCACTGGACACGCAGTTACCTTTTTGCTAGGGGTGCAACAATACCTGTACCCGTATCGAACAGTGCTTTAGGTTCAATACACACTTGTATGGAACAACACAGATTTTTAAAATTTACTTTATCAGCTTGTCTTGTGAAGATGCTCTGTGTTGAAGGATCAGTGGATCTGTGTTCGACTACTCCACCTAGGCTGCATTTTTGAGCGCAGATCCACTGAGAAACTTGCTGTTTCTGCAACATTTAATTTAAAAACTATACTTTTGAGGTTAAACAAATGTTCATAATTAATTTAAATAAATTACAATTTAAAAGGGGCATGGACATTTCTCTCTTTTTTATCGAAAAAATATCAAACCCTGAGACTAAAGTATCAAACCGAACCGAATCGTGAATTTTCTGTATCGTTGCAGCCCTACTTTTTACCTCTATTGATGGACTTAAATATTCTAAGAACTATGTAAACTATATCAACAATATCTAAACATGACTTCCTCTTTAATATTTACCATATCATTTAATCAGGTATTTCATTTGTGCTGTCGAGGAATTGGAAAAAAATGCCAGTTTTATATGACGAGTCATGATAAATGACCTTGACCGTTGACCCTTTGATGTCCAAACCTAATCAGACAGTACTACCCTAATGGAATAACTATGCTTATTTATAAATTAGAAGAAAATGCCAGTATTATATTAACAATCATCATTTTGACCTTTGACCCTTTTGATGTCCAAACCTAATCAGACAGTACTACCCTAATGGAATAACTATGCTTATTTATAAATAAATATATACTTTTATTCATGAGATACCATGCAAACAAGACCACCCATGACGGACGGACACCACACTAACACAGACAGCCAGAAAATAGTCTGCCTCCTGTTATGCCGCGTCTAGGAGCAACCAGGATGTAACAGTAGGTGGAAAAATCCCCAACCTCTGCTCCGTTCAACCAAAAAAAAAAAAAAAGAAAGAAAAAAGCCACTGGGAAACTATTTGATTAAAAGAAGAAAAGTGTGATTTTCATTTACAGTTCGTGTGTTTATACAAAACTGGAGTGTCTTCACTTCAGGGTGAGCCAACGGCCAAAATAACAAACAAAACAAATCTAAGTTTTTCCTCTTACTTAATCAAAATTAAATAAAAATTAAATAGAGGCTCTTACCTTCCTCTCAACATCATCACCTCTCAGCTAATCTTTCTACAGTTTCCTCATCAACAGGCAGCCAGTCCTCGTTCAGCTCCTGGTCTCAATCTTCCAATCACAGATGGCACCTGGAAACTCATTTGCATACAAAATTATCTCAACACACATTCAAAACAAAACACAACGGCAGTTGTAACACTCCGGTCCCAGTGGGCATGTGTGCATTTATTGTCTTTAACATTGGTCACACTGGCAGCCAAACCTTCTAGCTCCACGTATTATTTACCAGCAAATCACTAAAATTACATTTTTACATCGCATAAAAAATCAGCAACAAATAAGATAAACCAGCCTTTTTAAATGTAGTTATAAACTGTATAAAGACCCCTGACTGAATAAAACACAGCTCTGATGTTGGGTTCATGATGGAGTTTGAACGGCCCTCTGTGTGACGTGGCTGTGACTGTTTGTAGAGGGAGTAACTGAGATCAGATCACTCCAGGTGCATTTAGAGTGGGGTGTGAAAGCTTGGGCACCCTTTTAATTTTCCTGATTTACCTTTATAAATAGTTGATTGTTTGGATTAAAAAAAATCAGTAAAATATGTCATAAATGGGACAGACAGAGTGATATTTGAGAAGTGAAATGAAGTTTAAATGATTTACAGAAAATGTACAACAATTGGTTAAACAAAATTAGACAGGTGCATAAATTTGGGCACCATAAAAAAACTCAACTCAATATTTAGTAGCTCCTCCTTTCACAGAAATAACAGCCTCTAAACACTTCCTACAGCTTCTAATGAGAGTCTGGATTGTGKCTGAAGGTATTTTAGACCATTCTTCTTTACAAAACATCTCTAGTTCATTCAGGTTTGATGGTTTCTGAGCATGGACAGCTCTCTTTAAGTGACACCACAGATTTTCAATAATATTCAGGTCTGGGGACTGAGATGACCATTCCAGAAGGTTCTACTTGTTCCTCTGCATGAAGGCCTCAGTAGATTCTGAGCAGTGTTTAGGGTGGTTGTCTTGTTGGAAGATGCAGCCCCGGCTTCAGCAGCTTCAGCTTTGTCACTGATTCCTGGACATTGGTCTCCAGAATCTGCTGATACTGGTTGGAATCCATGCGTCCCTCAACTTTAACAAGATTCCCAGTCCCTGTACTGGTCCCACAGCCCCACAGCATGATGGAACCACCTCCACATGTTACTGTAGGTAGCAGGTGTTTTTCTTGGAGTGCTGTGTTCTTTTTCCTCCATGCAGAACGACCCTTGTTCTGCCCAAATAACTCTATTTTAGTTTCATCAGTCCACAGCACCTTATTCCAACATGAAGCTGGCTTGTCCAGATGTGCTTTAGCAAACCTCAAGCAGCTCTGTTTGTGATGTGGGCGGAGAAAAGGCTTCCCCTGCATCACTCTCCCATACAGCATCTCCTTGTGTAAAGTGTGCTGAATAGTTGAACGATGCACAGTGACTCCATCAGCAGCAAGATGATGTTGTAGGTGTTTGGTGCTGGTCTGTGGGTTGACTCTGACTCTTCTCAACATCCTTCACTTCTGTTTATTCCAGATTTGTCTTGGTCTGCCACTTGGAGCCTCGACTTGAACTGTGCCTGTGGTCCTCCATTTTCTCACGTTTCTCACAGTGGAGACTGAAAGATGAAATCTGAGATAGCTTTCTGTATCCTTCCTCTAAACCATGACGCTGAACAATCTTTGTTTTCAGCTCATTTGAAACTTGTTTTCAGACTCCCATGCTGCCACTCTTCAGAGAAGATGCAAAGAGGAGAAAAACTTACAATTGCCCCCTTAAATACCCTTTCTCATAACTGGAGTCACCTGTGTATGGAGGTCAAGGGTCTCTGAACTTACCAAACCAAATTTATGTTCCAATAATTAGTCCTAAAGGTTTTGAAATCAATAAAACTGCAACAGTGCCCAAATTTATGCACCTGCCTAATTTTGTTTAACCAGTTATTGCACATTTTCTGTAAATCATATCAACTTCATTTCACTTCTTGTCCCCTAAATGATAAATTTAACTGATATTTTTTTATCTAATCAATGATTTTTAAAAGGTAAATCAGGAAAATTAGCAAGGCTGCCCAAACTTTCGCACCCCACTGTACACCATGTCTGAACTCTAATTTAGAGTTGTCCACTTGTGACCACATCAGCCAGAACACGTCATCCCCCGGTCTGAACAGTGTCTCAGTGGTTTCTGTATCAGAAAGAAACGATGCGTTTGTTTGAGTGTGTTTGCTTCTGTCTCTTTCAGGAGTTCAACCTGATTGACAGAAAGGAGCTGGTGCCACTACAGGAGCTGATTGAAAAACTCACCACTAAGGACAGATAAACAGCAATGCAACTCTTTATGTCACTGTTCTAATTTTTGCACAGATACCCACCCCACCCTGGCTGTATGTATGCAGTATAATACTAGATTTCCATTGGGGGAAATGGTTTTAATAACGCCAGGAAGAAGGAAGGGTTTTGGTAGGTTTAAGGCACCAGGACTAATTTTATCAGGGATTACAGACTTCATTAGCAAACATGAGATTTACACTAGAGAAATAACACATTTAGGTGTTTGGTCACAGTTTACCTTTAGAATAATAAAGACCTACTCCTTGTTGATTAGTTTTTTTTTTGTTAGACTGCACTTTTTATTTAAAGTTTTATTTTGAAAAACAGCATTCTCACATGGGAGAATAACATGTAGTCAAAGTTGCTGTATTATAGGGTGTTGATGGTGTTATGGCAATATTTGAAGCCACTTAAACAGTAATAGTTATGTTTTTTTTCCTATATATATATATATATATATATATATATATATAGTGTCAGAGTCTTGGGTTTGCTACTGTAATTGCCGTCAATACAAAAAAAAAATCCTCTAAGTGCCTAGCATGGCTCATAGTTGCCCTATATTCACACTGAGAAATGTCTGAAGAATATTTCTACCCACCTCTCTGTAAAGTAACACGTTCTACATCTGCCACTTGGTCAGAATGATTTTTGCTGTAAACTCATCAGTTTTATTTAGTGATGGAGTCTTTTTTGCTGTTTGCTCAGCAGGTTCTGATTAAATGAATGTGCTGAAGGACGTAGACGTGAGGTTAGAACATGTTGTAGCAGGGAATAAATAAATGAATAAACTCATAGCAATGTCTAGTGACATGTCCCTGTGCTCTAGTCCCCCCCAAATGAAGTAGAAATAAGTTTTAGGAAAAGTTTTCAAGGGATCTAAACCTTTAAATTGTATCTATGTGTCTTGAGATAGATGCAGGTTACCTTCACTGTTTGAATTGGATTAATCTTCATCCCTTGTTTCAATAGCCATGAAGCACTTTGACCAACTTTCCTGACCACTCTTGCCTGAATGTTTCCTCTCCGTATGCTGTAGTTTGTAAAAAGCTGTATCATGTGACTGATCGTTTGTTTTCCACCTGCAAATTGCCCAAATGAATGTTAAAATGGCCCAAACATGTCTGCAGTCAGCTGCAGGGCACGAGTTGAGGTTTTCTTCTGGTTTGTTTGTCGCCATGCTTTAATCAGCAGACGCATGCCCCACCCACCCACCCCCCTAATGTCAAAGTTGAGTTTGCTATGCAATGACTGACGCTAAAAGGATCATCAGTTGGCTCTTTCCTGATCTTTATCCTATAGTAAACTTTCCCAGTAGTGCTTGAATTTGAGTGTGTGAAAAATAATAGCGATGCTTGTCTGTCAGATTTAGTTTCAAGCTGGTGACCTGAACGTTTTCTACCTGAACTGTTCATCAGGGGTGTAAATCCCCTGATGCACACATGTAAATACTGAGAAGTGACTGATCCTGAGAAAATAGATTTTCAGCAAGCATGGAGTGTTAGCTTTTGGTGAACTGAATGCATCGAGTCTTTTTGGAGGCTACTTCCTCTCCCTTATTTGGATATTAAAACTTTTTGTTTTATATTTTGTCGTTTTTTTTTTTAAATATAATTATTAACTGCATTATATGAATGTTATTGGTCACCAGATATCTGAACTTGTTATAGAAAAATGAGTCCTCCTGATAAAATGCTCACAAGACCTGTTGCCTCCAGTTTATCCTCTTTCCGTTTTAATTATTGATGAAATGTTTGTAAATAACAGCTTGATTTTGAATTTTCGATGCTACTGAATAGATTTATGCTGTTTACAAGGCAAATAAAGATGGTCTCTCGACTCTTTCGTTGATTTGTGTCTTCACCAGCAGCCACTGTATTGAAAACAGGTGTGGTTCTGTTCTGGACATCACTGCATGGGCTCAAGGAAAGACACTTTTACTGCGCTACCAACAAGTGGTGATTAAAGCTCTACCATGCAAAGAGGATGTCGTATGAGCCGGAGCTGGTATAAAATGAACTGCAGTGAAGCAGAAAACTTCTGTGATCAGATTAATCAAAACTTAACATCCTTTGAAAACACAGCACCGCCACATTGTACTAACGAGAGGGATCATTTATTCTGTTACCGATGCACATCTCGAAAGCTTTCCTCTCTGATGGTATGGGGTTGCATACATCTGTAAAAGTTTATCCTCAATGCAAAAAATAAGTTAAAACAGGTTTTAGAGCAAAGAGGACCCAGAATTGCTGAACTTCTAGTTTACTTTAGACAAAAATGGAGCAACATACCCACCAAAACCCCCTATTCAGCGGTCCTGGAGAGGAGGGTCCGTCGGATAGTCGAACCTCGGATTCAGGAAGAGCAGTGTGGTTTTCGTCCTGGTCGTGGAACACTGGACCAGCTCTACACGTAACCCTGGTGAAAAAAAAAACTTTTCTATTGTTTATTTTCTTTGTCTTTGATTTTATTTTTTACAC